AAGGCTGTGTTGTCCACTCACCTCACGTTTATGTATTGGTGTGAAATCTTTATATATGGGACTATACCCTGTGTGACCACTTTCCACAAAGATATTATCTCCCTTAAATGTGATTAACTAAATATTCCCCATCAAAGCTTATCTTCCTCTAATCCCCCCTTCTACATAAATTCTTTCTTTCTTTCCACTGATTGAAAAAAATAATTATTCATCCCATATTATCCCTTTGAAAGTTTCTATCCTTGTACACAGAGTTGTATATATATTTGTTATATTTTCTTTATAATTTCTGCTTGTATGATACAGTTTAAAACAACAAAATGTATTTAAGAGGAATGTGAACAATTAAGGTTTGTGAAAATGATTTCCCCCAACGCAAGATGAAGGTTAGATGATCAAGGGATTGGATTGGGGGGGGGGGAAGGAAGAAGGGATCTTACCCCTTTCAACTTTCAGGATGTTGATACTTACATTTATTCACCAAATCATCATGGAACTATAACTGGTTATTGTGTCTTTATTAATTTCATGTTCCATCATAAATATAGTTAAATAAATTTTGATTGATCAGCTGACATTGAAAATGTCAATGTGGGGAGGAGACTTTTGGAAGGGGAGATAATCTTATTTATCTATCATTGGAATTTAGGAATGTGGTGAAAGACTGAGTCTGTTGATCTAGCTGGTAGTTAGATTTAACCTGTGTATCTTAGAATTTAAAGTTAATTAAAATGAATTAAAACATATTATATGTGTTGATAAATTGTGTGTTTTATATAAAATTTTGTTCTTTTGATGCTTGACTGTTATAAGGGATAACGTTAGAATGTCTAGGTATCATATATTGTAAAACATCTCTGCTATATTCCAGTTATATTAATCTTTGTGCCAGTGAGTGCCCATGTATGTTCTTGTAACAGGGAATGTGTGGGATTAAAATGTCACAGACTTTTACACAGCTGAGGATCGCTGTTATTGGAGGAGAGAACCAATATAGATTGTGATTAAAATTGATAAACCTACTGAAGTCCTTGTATTAATATATAAAATAAGATTTGACTCTGTGACGAGGTCTGTCTTGAGCTGCTCTGCCACAGATGGAGATCAGACTCTGTCGACAATCCCATACACAGTATATGTATAAAGTAAAACTGTGTAAGTTAGTAAATATAAATAAATCATGTTCAGTTTAAAAGGATTCTCTTTTCCAACTTGTCATCTGCATGTGTGGTGTTTTCATGGTGATTAGAATTGTTTCTTTCTGTATATATACAGATGTTAATTGTCATGTAAAGCTTAAATAGAGGACCTGACTTATCTGTGGACACTCAAACAAAGCTTGAGTACAGCATATTGTTAATCTAAAAGGCCACTTCAATAGTCTGTTCTGTTACAAACAGGTCGGACATTTCTAAGGCTTTTCAAAGAGGAAGCTATGTTTTGAAAAAAAATGTCAATGATAGAACATCGATGGACAGTCAAGTAAATTGTACTCTCATCCATCGTACTGTAATTACTACCTGGAGTTTTAATTCTGTATAGGAATCCTGGAACCGCTGGAATGTCACAGTACTGTATTACAATTAATGGAGGGGAGGGGGCCTCGAGGATAGCAGTGGGGACTTTTAATGTACTGTTATGTTCTAATAGGTTACCTACTTGGACAGTGAGGGGAGAGAAAGGAAGGAGAGAGTTAAATATCAGTAGAAGCCCATAAAGTGTCTTCAGTAGAATACCCACTTAAATTTTATAATTGCCAACCTTCCCTATATTGGGCCCTTAAATTTATTATTTTCAACTAGTAAATTTGCTAAACTGTTCCTATTTTCAAAGTTCTAATGATATGTCATTTTAAAGGGTTATTTTGTCTCTAAGGGGTGTATACACACATTTTATTAATGTTTCAATTTTGAGCATGTAGAATCTCCCCCATGAAGTTGGCAAGTATTACTTACTGTACAGTGTAAAGAGGGAGGGTGAGACAACTCTAGGATAGCAGTGGAGACCTTTGATAAACTGTAATATCCTCAGTAGGAATAGTGAGGGAAGTGAGACAGAGGAGAGAATTATCCACCTAATGTAAAGAGTAAAGAGGGAGGGGGAGATCACTCTAGGATAGCAGTGGAGACCTTTACTATACTGTAATATCCTCAGTAGGAATAGTGAGGGAAGTGAGACAGAGGAGATAATTATGAGACAGCAGTATCCAGTTGAATACCCACCTAATGTACAGTGTAAAGAGGGAGGGGGAGACAACTCTTGGATAGCAGTTGACACCAGTGTAATGTCATTAGTAGGGTAACCACTTTTTTGAAAAAGAAGATGTTTGTTAATCTTCCAAACATTGGCAATAGATTAATTTTCCTAATACTGGTTAGGGTACCAATTAATTTTGTACTTACAATGTCCTACATTTGTAATAAAAGTCCAAGATCAAGCTTCATATTCTGGACACAGAAAATATCATTAGGGTTGATTTTCTGTATAAGGGCATCTGTTACTGTCGCTCTTCAAAAAACTATACATCCTTATCATAAATATTCATATTACTGCATTGTTTGTTAAATAATGGAGTAATATAGGCTACTTTATGTATCTGGGACTACACATATTGTTTTGTCAATTTGCTTTGGTTTTATAACATAGACTGAAGGTCTTTTTTCTATATCCTACACAGGGGCTATGATAACTCTATAAAAACCAGGGCAAATTGACAATATGATAAATGTTCTACCATAACGTTTCCATGTATTAGCCCCAATGCCTGTCTTAGCCTTCCTAACCTAACTCATGACAATGTATCAACCTGACTACTGGAGGTGTCCTTCCTGAGAGGTTAAGGAGCAAATCTGGCCTCTGTGGTTGAATTAGATTATAGGAACCAAATTGAGGTGCGCTATAGCTGATATGTCCCTGATGATCCACCAGTTCTTTTATCAAGTCAGCCTGAAGTGTCAGTCTCAACACAAGTCTCTTCTCTGATCTTATAACAGAGGAGATTTCTGAGAACTAATGGAGGTATATGTCAGATTCTATCCTTTGTTACTTCAGACCTGTATATCTTACTTTCTACCTGTATCACCTTGCTGTCTGTCACCCGGAGGTGACATCCCTGTATTAACTACATCATGAGGTCAGAGGATTACAGGGGCAAGCCACTGTATAAAACCTCACCGAATCATTTAAATGCGTAAGTTGTTTTTGGAGTATACTTATAGATTTTTACGGACGCTTAGTAAGAGACATGATTTACTACCGGTTTTGAACATCCTCCATGTTTATTCAAAGTCTGTTTAAACCAGGCGCTGAACCCGTTTATAGTGTTCAGTATTGGTAATTCGGCCCTTATTCACAGAAACAACCCCCAATGTCTCCTAAATGGCCTTCTAAATATTGACTGGGGTGTCAAATTGTAATTGTTGTTCAATATTTTAGAATTAGAGAGTCTTCCTTAAGGCTTTTACGGATTTTCTGACTGAAACATCAGGAAACCTTTGTTGTCAAGACCTTTACAGAAAATAATCATCTTAGTGAAGAATTATTTGGAATTAAACCGTGCAGTTTGTGAGGTAAGGACATAAATGCAAACAAATCTCTGTAGTAAGGAGACAGGTTTTAATGTTTCACTGTCAATTAGACTTAAATTTTCATGCATAGCCATGCCATTGGCAACTTTAAGTAGATACTCTTTAAGGAGCACTGATTGTTTTACTGGAAATTTAAGTTCCAGAGATTATTTAAACAAATGATGCCTCAGCAAAAAATCAGAAAAAATCATTAGGAATGAGCTATTTCTGTGTTTTGTTGTATGGCCTACAAGATTTTGCTTGACTGTTGTCCTTACTCTCAGAGCCCTGGTCAGTTATTTGACCATTCATCAACTCTTTATCTAACCTCTCTCAAGAAGGGTTCAGAGTATCTTGTCTGACCTCTGACCTTTCCTCTGGCTATACATTTAATCCGGAGCAATGAGATTAATGTTGGGAAGAATTGTTTTATTTTAGGTCTGAAAAAACGGGTTGCTTGAATCTAGAAAGCTAATTGCACTCTTAGCGCTCCAATTAGTTGCCACAATGTTTGGTGAGAATGGTCGGTGTTTTTAGCGCTGTTAAAATGGATGTCCCTTTATCAGGTAGACAATGCCATGTATCTTTGTAAGGTGTGCTGTGATTAAGTTTACCCCTCCATCTCTCTTTATCTTCTGTCCACATTTGGAGTAAATTAAGGCATGTACGCATGTGTATTTGTAGCTTACTGGTAGATAAAGATCAAGGTTGAACAATCTTTGTGATATTAAGTCTCCTTATATATATTTCCATTTTTACCCACTGCTTAGCGCTGTTGAAAATGAAATCACATACATTTTCCCCACTCCTTTCCCAAAGTTGAATTACTTAATTTTCCCCCATTTTCCCCACTCCTTTTCCAAAGTAAAATTACTTAATTTTCCCCACTACTTTTCCAAAACAAAATTACTTAATTTTCCCCACTACTTTTCCAAAATAAAAGTACTAAATTTCTCCAATACTTTTCCAAAATAAAATTACTTAATCTCTCCAATACTTTCCTTTTTTAAAGGCTATTTTTCATTGTCTGTTGGTCTATGTGCTTCTGCTACATAAAGGCTGTAGTGTTATGGAATGGTGGTTAGTCGGTGCCTGTAGATAAGCCCAGTCTAATTGTTAACATGTAGTAAAATAATTTAAAAGTTTGTGATTCTGTCCAAATTCCATAATGCCCTGATTCTTCCTTATAAAGTTACAGGAAATCATCACAGAAAAGTTTATATAAGATAGTTGGCACCAAATACAATGAACTCTGTAATGTTGAGGGTTTACAACATGACCGCGTTTCCTTACAATACTCTGATTTCCTCCTACATAAACAACAGCTGTGTGCTTGAAACCAGGCCAACACGAACGATGAGTATAAATTAATAAAAACTTGTTTCATAATTGTTGCAAATAAAGTGCATTTTATTATTACGCCATGCCCTCATTTTCACAGCTTCAGCTCTTAACCAAATTTCATCCCTGTTTATACAAAGGTCGAATACGGGAATAACCTTCCATGAGTTCCCAAAGTTAAAGTCAAGGTCACTGTTGCTATTTATAGGTCAACCATAGCTATTTTGTGTCTTCTGGTAGGATTCAGGACCTTTTAAAAAAAAATAAAAATCTTTTCACACATTTTGTTTTATTACATTCTTTCTTTTCAAAATACTTATTTCCCTGTACTTTTATGACATTGAAATGAGTTATAGTGCTATCTCGCTGAAATGTCAGACCACACATATCTTACATGGCAACCAGTCTATCTCCTTTTTATCTTGATTTGTTAAAATATTATATAATTAGGACAACGCCAACATAAAACTTTATAAAGCCACTAATAGTTGATGTAAGTACTTAATTCGTTCACCCCTACATTTTTACACTGGACTTGCTCTGTCTTTGATTTGGTAAGGCTCAAGTGTGACTTTAGGGGTGAATGGTTTAAATGCCATGACTCTAGAGTTTATATGGTATCTATGAGGATAGTTTCAATTTATCTAATCATATTTGAAGATGGAGTTGACTAATGTTTCATGTTTCCTTTCTTACTTACAGGCAGAGGAACTAAACACTATCATTGGGAATGCTTTCAAGATGGCCTACGCGCAGCAGAGAGTGCGACAACCCACATTCAACGAGCTCATCGAGATACAACTGAACGAGCAGAAAGCTAAGTTCGCTGAATATCAGGTTCAGGCCCAGAAAGAGTTCAAACAGAAGCTCACCGAGATAGCTACCCCGACGCCGTTCTCAGAAAAGGCAATTCAGCGCATGGAAATGCGGCGGCAGTCCAGTAGTGACGATGTCCAAGAAAAAGAACGGGAACTTGCTGTGGGCAAAAATAAACTCTGGGTAAGTTAGCCTGTCACTCCTGCCAACACTGGCTGTGTTTAAGTTTGTGTATTGGCTGCATTTTGCACATTTATGTCTTGAATTCATTGAAGTGTTTTGGATATCGGTGATGAACAATTTTGGATATTTTTTTATTTTAATTATTATTTTGAGTTATGTTTTGAATTTTTGAAGAAATGAAGCAAGTTAATCTTGAGATTTGTTTAATTGTTTTGTTGGTCAATATGATGGTAAGGAAAAGTACAGTGAAACCTGGCTAAATCAAACAGCACAAGGACTTAGATTTTTATATTAAATATACAGGTTTCAGTATGGGCAAGTTTAATATACATACCGGTAGAAATATTGATAGTGAGATCCAGTTGGAAATTTCCAGTTATAGCAAGAATTTGGTTTAGACAAGTTACCTGTAGGAACAAAAATATGTTTAGGAACTTTCCAAATGCTGGAACCTTAAAAATGATCTGTAAAGAAATCTTCATGACAAAATGAATTCCAGATTTTATGACAAGATTGATTCCTAAGAAAAAAGGTATCTGTCAAAAGGATTAAAAATAGATTTATTATCATTGAATGTTTTAAGATGTAATGACAATATTGTTTTAAAAAATCTGGAGCTGATGCTCATAACAACCCTCAAGCTGGGTATCTAGCTTTTAGGTTAGCTGTGTAACCACACCTGGCTGTCTGCTCTATATCTACTAACAATCATCTATGCATTGCTTTATGTGTCTGTTAAAGGAAATCTATGTACATTTACTCTATATAACTTAGTGATGGGTCAATGATCTAAAATAATAGAAAATTAGATGAAAATGAAATAATTTAATTATGCCAAAATTGAAACACAGATTACCAGTAATTGATTAAATTTTCTTACTGGTAATTAAAAAATACCAGGAAATAGTATAATGATTTGCTTCAACTAGAAAATGTTACCGACTGTTTGATATGGATATATACAGATGGTTTTTTTTTTAGATTCTTAACATTAATATATTTATTTCAAAATTTACTACATTTACAGTAAAAGATACACAAATCTAACATCATTCTAAAATTAACCGATATAGATTGTTTATAAGTTATAATTGATCGGTAATGTGTAATAGATTGTTTATAAGTTATAATTGATCGGTTATGTGTAATAGATTGTTTATAAGTTATAACTGATCGGTTATGTGTAATAGATCGTTTATAAGTTATAATTGATCGGTTATGTGTAATAGATTGTTTATAAGTTATAATTGATCGGTTATGTGTAATAGATTGTTTATAAGTTATAATTGATCGGTTATGTGTAATAGATTGTTTATAAGTTATAATTGATTGGTTATGTGTAATAGATTGTTTATAAGTTATAATTGATCGGTTATGTGTAATCTAGAATCGATTAGCTGGTATGAATGGAATTCCATTACCTATATACATGTGATATACCAATCTAAACCTGAAACGTTTCAGAATCATACTGTTTGCTTACTTATATACCGTAAGCAAATGCATTTTCCTACTCATTTGTTACAAGTTTCAACTTACAGGCATCTTAATTTAGCACATTATGTATCTATCAATATTCAGGAATTCACTGATTATGTATTAAGTACGTAATTATCATAATGACATTAGTAACCGCTTTCAAATTGGTGCAAAAAGATTTTTACCACTTAAATGATCATGGTTGCAGCAACTGTTGCTAACAAAACTTTAAGTGTTAAATGCCGGGAAATAAACTAGTGATGGGTTTATCGCAGCAGATACCGAGAAATATATTTGTGATGAGTCGATTGGGACATCAAATAGCAGATACCGGGAAATAAGCCAGTGATAAGTTTTATCCACAGTGAGCAAAATATTTCCAATCACCAGTAAGAAGATTGTAGAAACAAATTTTTAATGTATACAAATATTTAACTACAGAAATATACAATATATTTTGTGACCTTCAATTTTAGCATCTCATATTATATTTGTAACTTTCTTTCAAATTGGAATGAAAGGTGAAACACTTAAATTAAAAAAAAAACCAACCCCAACTCAATTGTATAATTAGCATATTATTCATCCCAGTTATGGCAACAACATCATAAAATTGGCAGGGTGTGCTCTTTTATGTGTGTTGATCATTGTTTGATGAATATGAATGTGTTAATAAGTAGAACTGATATAGATTTTTACCTGAGGGCAGATATTTAGGTCCATACTTGTGAACAGACTATATTAAGAGACTACATTGCACAGTGGAACATCAATATTCACACATAGACTCTGTGAGTCACACTTTTATTGATTACAGTCTTCGTAACCAGCAATACATTTTTCATGATTCAACAAAATTTCCATATTTTCACACTAAATGCTAATAGGATCTAGGAAAGATAACTCTTGTTAGTGAGATGTAAGGGAGATAACCAAGTTTGTCTTGACGAGTAAAACATCAAAAGATACTGTAAACAAAATTATTCTATTATAAGCTAGGAAAAAGATGACTTAAATATTTTTACTTTCAAAATCCACTGATTAAGGCGAAAAAAAAATTAAATTAGTTTGTTACACACACAAAATACTTGTCAACCTTTTAAATATTCATTGGGGAAAAACCACTTACAAAATCTAAAAATGTCTGAAACGTACTTATAGTAACCCCTTTTTGACAAAAACTTAGTATAAAATAAACTGGATTAAGTGTTTTGTGTAACGAAGTGATCAAAATGAGTAATCAAATTTAAGCAAAGACAATAGTTTGAAAATTTTGGTCATAATAAATAAGGATTAAAAATTGAGTCTTCTGCAATGACAAATTGGGAGACCTTGTAAATTGTGTTATGGTAAGATAGACCATTTATTACTGACATGCACTATGTATTGTGTCATGTGACGTGTGTGTGTGTATTTACAGTTTTCGTTACAACGTAGCCCCATCAAGGTACAGTAGGCCAGTTTTCATTACCCTCCTCGTGTTGTAATCTGCTGGGTCTGTCTGGGCAACGGCAAATGTTTTTACATCTATAAAATGAAACTTTAACTAATAATTCACTTATCTATCTGTTAATGGTAGAACTCAAAATTATAAGAAGTGTCTATACAATGTTATTTGAAATTATTTTTAAATATTTAGGAAAAATAAAAAAAATATACTTCTTGCAAAAAAATGTTTGTGTCTGTTAGAAAATGAAGTTGAAAAGTAATCATGATAAAAAGCTAAAACTTAGACCATGTGTTCTAGCTGTATTTGGAATGATGAGAAAACATTTGTCCAGCTTACATTTTGATTTCAAACTATGAGGTATGTGTACCTGTGGTACATGTATATTATGTCGTAGATGAATGTCAGTGATCTGATGCATTTTAGATGAGTGGCAATAAGAGATGATTGGTTTCTGTGAAATCAGCTCATTTGATAGGAACTTTAATGTACTAAAGTATTTCCACAGCATATTTTTGATTGATTTGAATGATAGTAATTTGCATTTTTGTACAAAATGTATGCATGCAAGTATTTAAATGTTATGGTTTGAAAAAAACAAAACAAAATCCCAGTGACCATTCTCCTGCATCCCACCCTTCAAAACTAAATCCCCTTCTCATCAAAGTCCATTAATTTCTTCAGAATCCTATAATCCAAAATGCACTGGAAGTAATTATTACCAAGGCAACCTGATGTTAAAGATACAAATATGTACAGTCAACATTACCACCTGTAATATATAGCTATTTGTTATCAGCTAACTTTACCAAACCTATCCTCAGCCAAGATTTCATACTTATTTTTGATTGTGATTCATTTGAAAATAATTTTGTATTACATGTACATTTTTTTAAGTTACTTTTTGTATAGAATTTTTCCTGGACTAGAAGACTTCAGATATTTTTGAAAGATTTTTCTATCATTAGCTTTCCTGCTGGAAGTACCCGACATCATTTTTGAAATGATGGTGAAATTTTCCCAACTGTATCTTGCTGGGGAGGAAATGCCAAAGAACTTTAATTTTTACTTCATTTGTGTAAAGAGATAACATGTAAAGGGAGATCACCCTGTTAGCTGTGACTAGAAGTTCTTGTACAGTGTATCACATTTTTTCAGCATTTAATCTTATTGCAAGGGCTGTGTTGATCCTCCCTCACACAGTACATGTATCTTCAGTCAGTGTGAAGCTTGAAACAAGATAAGAAGTGTATTTGGCTATGCTCAATTCATTTTCCATTTTACATTTCATACTAACAGAAAAGTTGTAAAATCAATAAGCCTAAGAATTCTACAGTTTGCATGTAGAACATGTAATATAGAGACCGACTAGTTCTATTAGGTCACTTTCCATTTGTCACAAAGCCCTGTTAGTAAACACAACAACAGTCAATATAACACAACATAATGTACACGATAAATAGTCGGTCAGAGTTTTACAGACTTTCGTGCTAGGAGTTCGTGCGTGCATACCTAGGAACCCGACATGTTTGGAATGTGAGACTAGATGGCCCTATTCTGCCTGATATATGTACCCCCTCCCCCTGTATAGTTCTATACACCCAACAAAACATCCCCTACCTACCCTATTTACTGGCGTTGGTTGTTATTTACGACACTTTCTCCAGTCGGATTAATTAATGTTGATGCTGTTTCATTATTTGCCATTTTGCAATCCTGATCGTGCCCAATTTCTGTTGCATGCTACCGTGCTACCTACAGAATGTACATATGTGTTGGTGTTCAATACCTTCGTATTCACTCCATGTGACGTGGCACAGTGCAAACTCCTATTTTCATCCCTTTTCATTTGTGCCAATAATAATTTCTTTTGCTGGTTTTTTTGGTGATGGTAACATCAGTTTTTTTTGTCTTTTTTTTGGTCAATTTTATTTTTCTTAAATAATGGATTGTATATGATGATTTATTTCTCTATTAGTAGTCTGATAGATTTGAACTTTGGGTTTATACTCTAGCTAATTCTACGATGTTGTATCCGTCTCTATCGGGTGGTTGTAAAAAATACATGTTATCAGTGTTAGCCTTCCCTACTGTCTTAGTCACAGATCAGGTGTACAGGAGGATTAATTTAGGGACGTCTCTTACCCAGCCTTGTACAGGTACGACATTATAATCGTCATTTATCTGTGGTTTATTTAAAATCTTGGGTACCATCTGAGAAACATTGTTAGATGAACTTTGATATAAATGTTTATATGTTATAATTTATATGAATCACCATTCTAAATGAAGTTATGGTTATATTTCTGTATTTAATGTTTTCCAGACTGTTTCATTGTTGAATAACATGATTTTTCATCAGACAAATGAGATACTTTGTGTATGAAGCATTTGAAATAGTCAACATAGATATGACGTTCTAAATAACTTTAAGATTAGAGATATCAGGTATTACCAATTAAGCTTGAAAATAAAAACAGGGCTGTTAATTATTTTTAAACTGATTTGTTAAATTGTAAAACAATTTTCAAGTACAACGCATATTGTGATTTAACAAAAGAATATATTGTAACACGTAAAAATGAGACATTGTGACATGTCACAGGAAGAGTATTTATATGACTTAAATATTTCGCTTGTGATTTGTGTTAGAGTTATCCCCCTTGCATCTTTTAAAAGTTCTAACGTTTTAGAAGAATGAAATTTCCGTTAATACATTAGCCTGTTTTTCATATTTATCATTAATGCGTGACACAAGTCCAAATTATCTTTTCAGACAAAACTTTCCACAGTCGTTTATTGTGAAATTCTTTTGTAAGAAGATTAAGTAGGATATATCCTTAAACAAAGTTTTGATAGCTTGTGTATCTTTACAGGCTAAGCAAGCAGTAGACAAGGTGAAGCATCGTTCTGCTGCCAACGAAACTTTAAGTTCCTCACCCCCGGGGCGCAGTGAGTCCCCTACGGTTGGAGGGAGGCCCCAGTCAGAGGCTCTGATCCACAACTACAGTATTGGAGACCCGACCAACAAACGTAATTCCACTCCTGTTCACTCTCTTAACCAGAACGCTTCCTCCCTGGCATTTCTCCGTAGTTCCTTTGACAGTACAAATAACTCAGGGAAGAGTAAAGGATCTCCTGTGACAGCCCTGAAGGATGCTATAGACAAAGGGTTTTGTAACGGGTCTCTCTCTAGCCAGGACAGCACAGACTCAGCCGGACTCATTATACATGACCAAGAGGGCTACCTCGCCCCTCATAATGGCAGGCTACTTAATGAGGACAAGGTAGGTAACTCTGTCACACCAAACTGTCAAATACTTTTTAAAGAATGAAAATTAACTCATTCATCCCTGAAAACACATATGAACTCTCCCAATTCAATGGTTGGAATAGTTCATTATGAAATTTCAGGAGTGAATGCAGTAAACCATGTTTATAATAAACTCTTTAGGAGTTTGACCATATCTTTGTTATGAGAAGGAGTTTTCAATATAAACCTAGAGCAGCCATTGGTAGACGTATTGATTCTTTGTACAGTGTATGTAAAACACGTCTTCTTCATTAAAAATCGTTCTAGAATTCAAAATTATGGTATAGTTCCAGTAAATATCTCTGTATCACTTCATGGTCCCAATGACTGTAATAGGGGTTGCTGTTTCTCAGAGTTTGAAGATTACATGTAGATAAGTCTGGGTCCTGTGTGAGATCTCTGTGAGTGTATTTTTAGTTAGAAATGACAGGTATGAGAAATGGTTACGTGCAGTACTTGTAATTAGGGAGGGAACCTCTGCATGTGTCAGGTACCCCTCTGTACTGGTGATTAAAGACAGGTACAGATGCATCTTTTTACCCAAGGAACCTTGACTACACTTTGTATATGACCTAGAGGCCTCCAGACAAGTTTGCTTACTATACCCACTCTCCTCCCTCCTATAATCACTATTTTTGTCCCAATTATAAGTAAAAGAATGCAATCACTCATTTCCACTCAGACTTTGTTAACGAAATGTTCTACTAAGGAGAAGGGATCTCTGTTTACACCCCCCTATCACTACTTACACAAGATTGATAGAGCCACGCCCACTTGTCCATGCTTTATTGATAAGGCCACACCCTCTTATCCCTGCTTTTAGTGATAATGTGGCATTTCTTTGCTACTTGCTATAATTATTTGTGGTTTTCAAACTCTAAATTTCAACATCCTGTTCCTTACCTGTGATAATGTCTAATGTAGATAAATGATATAGAACGAGTGGATCTGATCCTAGTACGGTCAAGATCAATGTTAAGTGAAGAGAGCTAGTGGAAGTGAAGGGTCTAAGATGATACTAATTGGCAGATAAGGTCGCAGTGACCTATATTTTATATGATGGTGTAACAGTGATAGTGCCAGCTATAGTAAAAGGTTTATATATCCAAAATAAGGTTATTCATTCGTCATATGTTTTGTGAGTTAGTAAGATTTCTACAAAACAGGAATTTCTTATGCTCTTTTCTATCCCTTTCTTTCTGGACAGAGATGTAACAGTTTCAAGACAAATTTTTAATTTTGTACAATAATTGAGACTCACAGATTCTGCAGACCATTCTGATATCAGAAAGATATGCACTGGTAAAAAATTGGAGGTCAAACTTAAGAAAGGATCAAATATCGCTGGACCAGGTAGCAGGTAGCTGATCGTTGAGGTTGTTGGTGCGTCCACCTGTCAGACAAGGTGTTGACAGGTGCTCATGCTAGCAATTAACATTTTTCATGGTTAACAGTCGGTGAAAGTAACAAACTGTCATTATAACCTCAAATTAGAAATCACTCGATGGTGACCTCTGTAGTCATATATTTTAACATACCTCAACAATTTCTTTTAAAAACATGTCGCCAAAAGTCGGAAGGTGAGATTGATGTAAATTTTAAGCTATTGAACTGATGTTATTGGGTAATGATAGATGGGTGTGTTATAATGGTACATAGGTGTGTCGTACAGTTTAATGGCGGGCTGTCCCCGAAATCTGTAGTCGTGATTATATATAATTATACAGAGTTGGTGATTTGATGTCCACAGTAAAGTATCGGGGTGGATTGATCAGACAGATTATATTAATCAGTCAGGCATGAAAAGGTTTAGAGTGATTAGAAACCTGTAATGGAAAGGACGCTGGCCAAACTATTCATAAAAAAATAAACATTTAGCGCTTGATTTCTCCTAAATGATAAAGTTTTATCGTCCGTCGTCCGTTAACATTTTACATTTCAAACTTAAAGTCAAGTTCTGCTGGGCCGATTAAACTGAAAGTTGGTAGGAATGATCGCCTCATGGTCCTGACAAAGTGTTGTTATTTTTCGGGTCGATCAGAAATCCAATATGGCCACCACGGCTGCCATTTTGGTAAACTATTTCAAACTTAAAGGAAAGATCTACTTGGCCGATTGAACTGAAACTTTGTAGGAATGATTGACTCATGGTCCTGACAAAGTGTTGTTATTTTTCGGGTCGATCAGAAATCCAATATAGCCACCACGGCTGCCATTTTGGTAAACTATTTCAAACTTAAAGTAAAGATCTACTTGGCCGATTGAACTGAAACTTTGTAGGAATGATTGCCTCATGGTCCTGACAAAGTGTTGTTATTTTTCGGGTCGATCAGAAATCCAATATAGCCACCACGGCTGCCATTTTGGTAAACTATTTCAAACTTAAAGGAAAGATCTACTTGGCCGATTGAACTGAAACTTTGTAGGAATGATCGAATCATGGTCCTGACAAAGTGTTGTTATTTTTCGGGTCGATCAGAAACCCAATATGGCCGCCACGGCCGCCATTTTGAAAACGTATTTCAAACTTAAAGTCAAGTTCTGCTGGGCCGATTGAACTGAAAGTTGGTAGGAATGATCGTCTCATGGTCCTGACAAAGTGTTGTTATTTTTCAGGTCAATCATAAATCCAATATGGCCGCCACAGTCGCCATTTTGAAAACCTATTTCAAACCTAAAGTCAAGTTCTGCTGGACCGATTGAACTTAAAGTTTGTAGGAATGATCGACTCATGGTCCTGACAAAGTGTTGTTATTTTTTGGGTCGATCAGAAATCCAATATGGCCGCCACGGCCGCCATTTTGAAAACGTATTTCAAACTTAAAGTCAAGTTCTGCTGGGCCGATTGAACTGAAAGTTGGTAGGAATGAGCGCCTCATGGTCCTGACAAAGTGTTGTTATTTTTCGGGTCAATCAGAAATACAATTTGGGTGCCATGGCTGCTATTTTGCTACTAAGTTCTAATAGGCCGATCTCACTTAAAATTGGTCTAGGAATGATCAGCTCATGGTCCTGACAAAGTTAAGTTAACATTATACTATTTTTTACTCAAATTGGTACATATTTCAACAACAAAAATAAATACTATAGACTCAGGTGACCGTTAAGGCCCATGGGCCTCTTGTTTATGGTGATGTTCTGCATTTTATTGCTTGAAACTGATTTGTTTATCCATATATCAATAGTTGATCACCTCATTTCCTTTATTGGATTTGGTAGTCTACATACTCTACAAAAGTACTGACAAGAGTCAATGAGGGCGTAATAGTCAACGAGAGTTAAAAAGTCAATTGGAGGTTTACAGTCAATGAGAGTTATAGAGTCAATGGAAGTTATAGTCAATGGGAGGTTTACATTTAATGAGGGTTAAAGAGTAAATGGAAGTTATAGAGTTAATGAGAGTTATAGAGTTAATGAGAGTTATAGAGACAATGAGAGTTATAGAGTCAATGGAAGTTATAGAGTCAATGGGAGGTTTACAGTCAATGAGAGTTATAAAGAGTCAATGGGAGGTTTACAGTCAATGAAAGTTATAGAGTCAATGGGAGGTTTACAGTCAATGAGGGTTAAAGAGTCAATGGGAGGTTTACAGTTAATGAGAGTTATAGAGTCAATTGGAGGTTTACAGTTAATGAGGGTTGAAAAGTCAATGGGAGGTTTACAGCCAATGACAGTTATAGAGTCAATGAAAGTTATAAAGTCAATGGAAGTTATAGGATCAATGGGAGGTTTACAGTCAATGAAAGTTATAGAGTCAATGGGAGGTTTACAGTTAATGTGAGTTATAGAGTCAATTGGAGGTTTACAGTTAATGAGGGTTGAAAAGTCAATGGGAGGTTTACAGCCAATGACAGTTATAGAGTCAATGAAAGTTATAAAGTCAATGGAAGTTATCGAGTCAATGGGAGGTTTACAGTCAATGAGAGTTATAGAGTCAATGGGAGGTTTACAGTTAATGAGAGATTAAGAGTCAATGGGAGCTTTACAGTCAATGAGAGTTATAGAGTCAATTGGAGGTTTACAGTCAATGAAAGTTATAAAGAGTCAATGCGAGGTTTACAGTCAATGAAAGTTATAAAGAGTCAATGGGAGCTTTACAGTCAATGGAAGTTATAGAGTCAATGGGAGGTTTACAGTCAATGAGGGTTAAAGAGTCAATGTGAGCTTTACAGTCAATGAGAGTTAAAGAGTCAATGGGAGGTTTACAGTCAATGACAGTTATAGAGTCAATGAAAGTTATAAAGAGTCAATGGGAGGTTTACAGTTAATGAGGGTTGAAAAGTCAATGGGAGCTTTACAGTCAATGGAAGTTATAGAGTCAATGGGAGGTTTACAGTCAATGAGGGTTAAAGAGTCAATGTGAGCTTTACAGTCAATGAGAGTTAAAGAGTCAATGGGAGGTTTACAGTCAATGACAGTTATAGAGTCAATGAAAGTTATAAAGAGTCAATGGGAGGTTTACAGTTAATGAGGGTTGAAAAGTCAATGGGAGCTTTACAGTCAATGGAAGTTATAGAGTCAATGGGAGGTTTACAGTCAATGAGGGTTAAAGAGTCAATGTGAGCTTTACAGTCAATGAGAGTTAAAGAGTCAATGGAAGTTATAGAGTCAATGGGAGGTTTACAGTCAATGGAAGTTATAGAGTCAATGGAAGTTATAGAGTCAATGGGAGGTTTACAGTCAATGAGAGTTAAAGAGTCAATGGGAGGTTTACAGTCAATGACAGTTATAGATCTAGAGTCAATAGAAGTTATAGAGTCAATAGGAGGTTTACAGTTAATGAGAGTTAAAGAGTCAATGGGAGGTTTACAGTCAATGACAGTTATAGAGTCAATGGAAGTTATAGAGTCAATGCGAGGTTTACAGTCAATGACAGTTATAGAGTCAATGGAAGTTATAGAGTCAATGCGTGGTTTACAGTCAATGAGGGTTAAAGAGTCAATGGGAGGTTTACAGTCAATGACAGTTATAGAG